CTCCATAAGATTTGTTTTTATAAGAATTTCATTTAAAAAAGGAAACTAGATTTTCTCGCCGCAATTGGCTTGGGTTGTCGCCCAGGCAAAACTCGGACAGTAGCTCAGGCCAAGAATTTCTTCTTGGTAATTAAAAAATCATGTTGGATGATCGCCCGGTATTTATAATTGGGATGTCACTCAGGCAAAATTTCTTCCATATGTTGCATTTTAGCCCCTGAAGTCTTTTTTTATTCTTTCAAGTCATTTCTCTTACATTTTCAACCCTTTTACTTTTAATTGCATCCAATTGAACCCGCAACATCTTTAATCTTCATTTTCTGATCCGAATCAACTATTGAAATGTTGCAACTTAGTCCTCATATTTTGGATTTTCTTCCTTTTTGGTTCTTTTTCGTTTCTTTTATCTTGAATTCCACCACATTCATCAATATAGTCTTACAAAATATAATTACATAGAATTAAGCCATAATTCAAAATCTTTAATCATAATTTAGTCATGTTTATGAACTAAATAAATGTGTAAAAACACACTTATCATTTCCGAGAGGAGGCATGCACCTAACAAACCAAGTGACCATAGAAGGTGCAGCAGAAAAGGCTATACACAAGCCCCACTGGCCAAATCCTAGCCTGTCTGTCCTGAAAACCCATTCAAAATTTCCACCATTATAAACTGAGTGGAAATAATTAGTCCAATGATGCTCAAGATAAGTTTTTTCTTTTGCATCTCCTCAAAAATGTTCTCCAAAAGCCTGGGATTGAATATGCTGAAGGTTTGACAGAGAATGTACGTACTGAGGACCAAAGAATCCTTTTCCTTAAATAATGATTTGCCTTTGAAATGTATAACCAGAAAGATGGCTATCTGATATAAAGCTTGAGCCCCAATTTTTTACGCCTTTGTGCTGTGATTAGTGGCTCTTTCAAGTTTCTTCGTGGCCTCAGCATAGCATCTTGAGATGGCTTTTCTATATTGAGTGCAAGAACTGCTAAAGTACCTGCAATCAGTTTCATCCACAAAAGTTGAAACACCGAAAATAGAATTTTTCCTGTTGGAACAGCTATCACAGCATTCAAACCATGGGTTCGCTAGATGAAACAGCCATCACAAAGTCAATTACCAGATCAACAAAACTTGCAATGAGCAAAAACTGAGTATATATCTGGACACTGTCGTATATTCTCCTACCCCATGTCAAAATATCAATGATGAAAGGAAAATCTTTGCATGACATGACAATGGCTGAGCATGCGTTGACAATTTCTACCCCTTGGGTTCCAAAACAAAGTCCTACATTTGCTTCGCTAAGGGGTTGTGAATCTCCAATGCCTCGTCCAATGAATGCAACCACATGGCCTTTCTGCTTCAAAGATTGGACCATAAGTAACTTGTCATCAGGAG